TGATTTTGGCTCAGGTCGTGATCTCATGGGTTCATGAGTTCAAGTCCCACATTGGGCTCTGTGCTGACAGCATGGAGCCTGCTTGGGATTCTCTGTCTCCCTCACTCTCTGTCTCCCCTGCTTTCTCTCTCTCTTAAAAAATAAATAAACTTAGGGGCGCCTGGGTGGCGCAGTCGGTTAAGCGTCCGACTTCAGCCAGGTCACGATCTCGCGGTCCGTGAGTTCGAGCCCCGCGTCAGGCCTTGGGCTGATGGCTCAGAGCCTGGAGCCTGTTTCCGATTCTGTGTCTCCCTCTCTCTCTGCCCCTCCCCCGTTCATGCTCTGTCTCTCTCTGTCCTAAAAATAAATAAACGTTGGAAAAAAAAATTTAAAAAAATAAATAAATAAATAAATAAATAAACTTAAAAAAAGAGAGAACGTTTATTATTTGCAAATCCTGAAAATTACACGGCACATCTGGAGCCATACAGTGAGGCTGCACAGAGAGAGAGAGACAGAAAGTGAAGGGTTTTACTTTTATTGTTTGACTAAGGGCTCATAGGTGGGAGGCCTAGGGTTTAGGGGGCTTACTCTTTATTGATGAGGTTAGAACATAAGAGCAGGAATTTGAAGTGCAGGAAGAGAAAAAAAAAAGGAGCCCAAATGGTCAGTTATTGAAATCAACCAAGATCTCTAAACCTACAAAGCCTTGAGAGAGGGGAGGCCTGGCTCTTTATCTAGTCATGTGGCTGGCAATGTGTTGGAGATAGCCATCTTTGAAGTGGATGCCTTGGTTTAAGTCAGGCACTTGCATTATTAAAGAAGAAAAACTGTCAGGACTTACACTACACAATACCTATACAACTGTATACAATATAACTATATTGTTAGACCTAGAACATACAGAAATTACTATATTAAACAACACAAAGAAGGCAGGTGGGAGCAAAGCTGTATTAGAATAAAGAAATGATACTAGATATTAATTTGGATCCACTGGAAACAAAGAGAAATAGAAATGGTAAATAAGAAGGTTAATATAACAAATTCCATAGTATATACTTTGCTTCTTTTCTTTACTCAGCATCTTTAGTAGACACAAAAAATATAAAGTTTAGGTTCATAACAGGATGTAATATGTATAATAACACAAAATGGAAGAACAAGAAACAGAGCTATATATGGGTAACATTTCTGTATCTCTCTGGAATTAATACACAGGTAAAGTAGATTTTGATAACTTAAAATGTATATGGCAAGCTACACAGGCAAGATTAAGACATTCTCAGACAAAACCTATGGTAGTTCATCACGACTAGACCTGTCTTAAAAGAAATGCTAAAGGGAATTCAAGTTGAAATGAAAGGACACTAAGTGACAACATGAAATCTTAGGAAAGTATAAAACTCACTGGAAAAGGTAAATAGTCAAATTCACAATAATATTGCAAAAGTAGTGCATAAATCATGTTTGAGTATAAAAGTTAAAAAAAAACAAAAAATATTAAAAATAACTAGCTACTGTAATTTCTTGATATGCAATATAAAAAGACATAAAATATGACATCAATATAATAAAACTTAGGGGGAGGGCAGAGGTAAAAGAGAATTTTTATGCAACTGAAGTTGCTATTACCTTAAAATAGACTGTTAAGGTTGTAAGATGTTTTATGTAAGCCCCATAGTAACCAAGAGAAAAAAACCTATAGTCAATACACAAGAGAGAAAGGAACCAAAGCATACTTCTATTTAAAAAAAAATTATCAAATCACAAAGGAAGACAGCAAGAGAGGAAGAAAGGAACAAAGGAACTACAATGCAGTCAGAAAACAATGAATGGAATGGCAATAAGATCTTACCTATCAATAATTGCTTTAACTGTAAAGAATTAAATTCTCCAATCAAGGCCATAGAGTGGTTGAATGGACCAAAAAAAGAAGGAGAAAGAGGAGGAGAAGGAGAAGGAGGAGGCAGAAGAGAGGGAAGAGGGAGAGGAAGGAGAAGGAGGGAGAGGGAGGAGGGAGGAGGGAGAGGGAGGAGGAAGGAGGGAAGGGGAGAGAGACAGGGAGACAGAGACGAAGAAGAATTCCAAAATATGCTGACTACAAGAGAATCACTTTAGCATTAGGACACACATAGACTAAAAGTGAAAGGACAGAAAAAGATATTCTGTTCAAATGATCACCAAAAGAGAGCAGGGGTGGTTATATCACTAAAAATAGACTTTTAGTCAAAATCTGTCACAAGTCATTATATAAGTGATCATTCATAAAGAGAATATAACAATTGTAAATATATATGCATCCTACACCAGAGCATTTATTTTTTTTTAAATTTTTTTTTCAACGTTTATTTATTTATTT